GCCTCCCTCGCCGACAGGCCCTGCGAGGAGCCGCCCCAGAAGCCCCCGAGGTTCTCCCAGCTGCGAGTGAGTGGCGGGAGGGAGAGGCTGTGTTCTTTGTGGTGGAGGAACTGCGGGAATCACGGGTCTCAGACGGTGACCTCAGCAGGGGACCCTCCCTCTCTGCCCCGAGGCAGGGGGCACAGTGGTTTGGGCTGGTTCTCTGCCCACCACGTGCCTCCATCTAAGGAATCAGTAGGAAGTGCCCTGTTGGGAAAGGCAGGAAAACAGCATCCAGACCCCCCGGGGGGCCCCTGCGGACAGTGTGACCCGCACCTGCGCCCTATGGAGCTGGGAGGCAGGTCTGCAGGCAGGTTCCTGGGCAGCAGGGCGCAGAGCCTGACTCAGCCTCACAGGTGCTCAGCTGCAAGAGCAGGCAGGCCCTGCCCTGGTCCAGGACGCTGTCTCCCGCCTTCGGGCTGAGCTGCCCACCCCTGGGTCTCAGAAAGGGGGTGCTATTCTGTCCTCCTGCCCTGGGGAGCCGCCACTGATGCTCAGCTGTGGGCGCTGAGGCGCTGATCCCTGTTCTCTGGGGGCCTCGGCCCTGCTGTGCTGTGTGTTTCTCCAGAGACCGATGGGTTGTGGCAGACATTTATCTGTGATAGCTGAAGGCACTTCCCGTGCCTGTCCTGCCCCCTGCTGTCCTATCCCGTGTCTGTCCCATCCCGTGTCTGTCCCGTCCCGTGCCTGTCCCATCCCGTGTCTGTCCCATGTCTGTCCTGTCCCATGTCTGTCCCATCCCGTGTCTGTCCCATCCCGTGTCTGTCCCATGTCTGTCCTGTCCCATGTCTGTCCCATCCCGTGTCTGTCCTGTCCCGTGCCTGTCCCGTCCCGTGCCTGTCCCATCCCGTGTCTGTCCCGTCCCGTGCCTGTCCCGTGTCTGTCCTGTCCCATGTCTGTCCGTCCCATGTCTGTCCCATCTCGTGTCTGCGCTGCCAGGGTGGGGGGAGGGCCCTGAGCAGCCCAGGACTGGCCCACAGCTGGGCCTCGGCCCCCACCTGCAGCTCTGAGCCTCACCTGGACTTCTCCTGCCGCAGTGCAAGACTTGCTCTCCCAGACGTCGTCCCCCCTGGAGCCAGAATGACTCGTGCACCGCCCGGTCCGCTGACCTGCTGCTACCTCTCTGGTTCTCCTGTGAATGCGGAGAGAAAAGTTGCCGAAATTTCTCCATGACTCTGAGGACCTCTTCGGAGGAGGTTTTAAAAAACGG